CGACGTGGTGGTGAAGAGCTCCAGTGGCCTGGAGTACGCCCTGCACGCCTCCATACTGCGGCTCAATGGCTTCGATTGCAGCATGTGCGTGAACAGTGCCCCGTCATCGGTTGCTGCTCGTCCTGCGACGAGGTCCTGCCACAGCGGACCGAACACACCGAATCCCATAAGGATCTCCGTGGCGCCGGCGGCCAACGATGAGGGGCACGACAAGTCCCTGCCGCGCCTGAATCTCTCGCCCATTTACCTGCAGCCGCCGTGCGACTTCCAGACCATGCCGTCGTCCGGCTTGGGCGCCCAGCGAGTGCATCAGTTCAGCAGCAGCTTCAATTGCCTGAGCAACGGCAACGCCGGGGACTCGGAGTCGGTGGTCAGGACCACGGGTCTGCTGAGCCTCGAATGTGGCGGCGGTGGCGGTGGCGGTATGTACCGTCTGCCGCCCACCTCGCATTCGGATTCGCACCTGGAAGCATCGCAGTCGCACTGCAAGAACATCTTTAACTTCTGCCAGGATCTGATGCTGCAGCCCACGCCCACGCCCCTGCCACCGACCAGTGGCCTGGCCATCTGTAGCATCCGGAGGCCGCCGCTATCGCCGTACCGTGCCCGCAGTCCCTCGCCCTTTCCCAGCTCCATGGACACGCCGCCGTCGTCGCCCCTAACGCCCGTGGGTGTGCTATGTAACCTGCCCAACTTCCTGCTGGGCCCCATCCTGCACTGGCTGTACACGGAGTCCTTGCTGCCGGACCTGGACGAGGATGTGTGCGAGAAGCTCATCAGCTTTGCGGAACTGCAGCCTTCGCTAACCAAGCTGGTGGAGCCCACTCGCAAGTACCTCCGGCTGATACGGCTCAAGAAGTGTAAGCATCACACAGACTATGTCCTGTAACTATCGGAGTAACTCCTTACCGATTGCTTGCAGTTGTGGTCAATGTTACCATGGATCTGCACGGCATACTCAATCGGGTCATACAGTGCATCAATCCCGGGAACATTACCCGCGATCCGGCGAAACTCTATGCCACTTTTCAGGATTCCTTGCGCGAGTGTGCCATAGGTGAGTCACTGGGTTATCAGTTGTCCGGTTCTATAAGAGGTTGCATCTTTTAAGGCTGCGCCAAGGTGCTGCAGTTCTGCAATATCTTCATCACGGATGCCGCTCACATGACGCGATACCAGAAGAACGAAATCGTCAAGTACATCCGCACCCGCATTCCCATCTTCATGTCGCAAGTTCAGCAGTTGCTCCAGAACGTACTTGGAGTCTTTGTGGGCTTGAGTGCGGACGAAAAGGCCGAGCTGGTGAACTACCTAGTACCTGAAGTGAGTTGGGATGCAAGTGATTGCACTGCAGCCTGGAGAACTAATCCGTTCGTTCCCACAGATCGAATCAACCTTATTTGTATTGACCGCTGTGATAGAGGAAATCAAAAACTCACTGGAAATCATGTGTAAGGTGAGTGGGCCAGTTACTATCAAGCGCTCCTTAAGCTGCATACTAACCATATTACCCACTTAGGACCTTAAATGCTCCCACTTGGATCTGCCCCTGCAACAGCAACAGGCGGACGACGCGATTGTCATGCAACTGCAGATTGCCGATGGAGGCGAGCCCTCGCCACGTCCTCGTCGCGGTGCTCCCGTGGGTCTAACGCTCTACGACAATCTCTCGGACAAGCAGCGCCTGAGTTCCGCGGAAAACGACCTAAAGTTTGTGCTCTACATGTACGAGGTGCGGAAAATGCGCGACATCTACGGCCGGATTGTGGCGGCACTCGAAATAATCAAGGACAAAAAGTGAGTGGGCGTGGGCCACGGGCTATCCCAACTGATGATCTCTAATCCTTACAGGACCACGTTCTGCGAAATGGATTTCCTGAGCAAAAGCAGCACAATCAACCAGAACCTCGAGCAACTGATTATGGACATTCCCGCTTACATCTTCATCGTGGAGAACCTGTCCGATCGACTGGACGACAAGCTCGGCTGGAAGGAGTTCAAGTTCTGCTTCAAGCTGGCCACCAGTCAGATAGTAAGCACACTACTGGCGAATGGCTAAGACCTCCAGTTTAACCTGTACTTCACAGAACGGCGTCATTGCCAAGCTACTGGACCACAAGGAAGCGCTGCGAGACGCCATCAGTCAGATCTGTATGCTGGTGCGAAAGCAGGAGTTCACCCAGTCCGTGATTGAGCTGGGATTACTGGACGACACCTATCTGCTGTCGAACAATTTGAAAATGGCTGATCACGAGAACAACCTAAATCAGGGCCTAAGCGACAAGGATGCAATGTATCTGGATCGCAAACAATACTATGATTATAATAGCATTAAGGTAATGAATGGCCACATTCTAGACACTCATCTGGCTAACGATTGCGATTTTGCCTGCAGTTAAACCTCATTCGGCACCTCTGTGAGCCGCCCATAGCCGCCAGCAGCAATCTCTCGAAGAACGCCCTGCGCCTGCTCCACTCCACCCAGCTGGCCGACATGGAGTTCGAGGTCCACACATACGCACCCACGCCCGGTGCTGGCAAGGCAGGTGGTGGAACCGAAGCTGCCTCTGAAGCCGCTGAGCCGGCGGCGAAAGCCCAGCAGGTGCACAGCTTCAAGGCGCATCGGGTGATCGTTGCCGCGCGCTGTGAGTGGTTTAAGAAGGCCCTGATGTCGGGCATGCAGGAGTCGATCAACCGGAAGGTCATCATCACAGACACCTCACCCGTGATCTTTCGGCGCCTGCTCCTCTATCTCTACGGCGCTCCCATCGATCGTACAGTTGGTGCCGAGCAGGTGTGCGAGCTGATGCTCCTGGCAGACCGCTACTCTATAGATGATCTTAAGGTAAGAGCAGGGTACTTGGGCAATCTCATGTACAATAACCGTCTGTGAATCGAACAGGAATTGTGCGAAAACACCCTATACTCCCTTATTGACGAGGACTCCGTGGTCTGCCTGCTGGGAATAGCCGATCGCTATATGGCCACTGCTTTAAAGTCGAAATGCCTTTCTTTTCTCTCGCAACATGCACAACTGACCAAGTGTGACATATTCAAGGAATTGCCGCAGACACTTCAGGTGAGCATCTGGATTCGGGTGAACGATACAGGCATCATACTAATGCACCACCCTTTCAGCTGGAGGTTATGGATTTGATACACTGGTTCGGACGGGTCTCGGAGCCGTGGAACGATCGCGGATTCAAGCCGCGGAGCAGCTCGCGCCACAGCCTCAAGAGTCCTTCGAAGCCACGCTCGCGATCGCGCAAGTCCTCGCCCTCCTACATGTGACGCCGACAAAGCGCCATTGAACACACGAATGCCAACTTCTTGTGATAATTTTAGAAGACTTCGCTATCCATTATCAGGTGGATAAAATAGTCAGTAAGGCGGGGAGAGGAATATGGTAGCCAGGATTTTAGACTATACACGGCGAGAAGATTGCTAACAAACACTTACAGGAATGACCGGGGCTCGTCCTTTCGTCGCCGATTTGGTGAAATGTATCACCGGAACAGAAGGAGTACTCCCAAATATCAAGCCAAACAAAATGGGCAAACATGACCTGATTTTAATGAGTTTTAGTTCACTTAGTTCACTAGTAGGTAGATAGGATTTTGGCGTATAATTTAAATGCTTTCTCTCGAATTTATTATCTTTCATTTATGTAGCCAATCACTCAAGCAGTCGAATTTGTCCGATTACAGCAAAAGATCGAAGAAGTATAGAACGAGAATAGGTGTATTAGCCATTTGACACGTTATGTAAATACACAAATGAGTAGCATAGAAAGACTTTTCGAAAACACTCCCTATTTCGAAATTATTTCTGTTTTGAGGTCCACTTGTGACGTAGGCTAGTTGTACACTTATATTCTGATGACGGGTAGGTAGAAACTAGTCCTTTGGAAATGCCAAAGTGAATAATTGTTTTGTATTGGGCTAACGTAATATTGACAAAATACATAATACCAATATTTTCGGTTCACCGAAGATTCCGGGCTACACTATTGTAAACTAACTAGTGTATTTTGACATATAGACACATATTAAATTTAAAACTAGACTATTTACCACGTGACGTATTCTCATAAGGTGTTTTGAGAAAATTCGGCGGATTTTATGTAACGACAACAGCGTATTTTTTTCATTCGACTTGAAAGCGTATCAATTTAACAAAATATGTGTACAAATATTATGTGTAAATTATATTATTGTACTAATTCAATACATTCCTTGTTGTCTTTTTAAAACATATCACAACCTAACTCTTTTTATTAGATACAGATTATAAAAATGTACGTATGTAAGTAATGCAAGTAAATGAACATTTGTTTTAGCAGTTTGTGGGAGGTATTATTGGTAATAAATACGTAAGAAGGCAATTTTTGAATGGTATGATAAAAGGCAGGTAGGACATACTGATTATCAACGAAATTAACAAAATGCGCCAAACATTATCATTTCAAACTATATCATACAAACATACAACTTAAATTTCTAACGGCCCATACATAAGGATGAGTAATAATCGCTGCCACTGTAGTAACGAGTATTACACAGGTAAAGTTCAAAGTTCACATATTTAAATATCCTAACGGCCAAATTAAGGGATACGTAATGAAGCTATGGGTATGCAGTAAGGAGTAAGATTAGTTATACATTGATAGACATTTTGTAGTTGGGATGCATTTAACCATTTTTTGTGTTGCCTATAGGCATATAGCGTTTAAACTAACTCCGGAACAGACAAGCCTTATAATACATATTCGATAAGTTGCTGGAATTGACGTAACGAGTATCTCAGTTAAGTTACATCAAGTAAGTCGCCGAAGCTTAAAAGTTTGAAATAACGAGAATTACATTCGCCATAGAGATGGACGAAAGAGCGATAGTTGTAAGGAGTGGCGATTTCGTGCAATTTCCCTCTTCCAGTGGCAAAGTTCGCTGGCAGCCTCGCTTTTCCAGCGGGCCGCGGGCACTAGTTTTCGCAACTGCGTCGCCAAAGGGCTGACCGCAGCCTTTCCAACCGAGAAACTTGGCGCTGGCGCTCTCGCTCTCGCTGCTGCTCCCGCTCTCGTTGTCGTCGCCACCGCCGCTCTCGCCACTCTCTCTTTCTCTCTCTCGTTTTGATTCGTTTCGCTCGTTGCCACTCGGGTCGCCGAAAAATGGGGACTGCTGCTGCTGGCGCTGTTGGCGCAGGAAAATCCATTTTCCATTTTCCTACATGCGGACACTGGCTCAAAGTATCGTGTGCGGCGGACGTCCTTGTCGTGCGTGCGTCGTTTGCTCGCGCTGACGGTGTTTTTTGTGCTAGGTTCAGGGCATCGGGCAACATGGAAACATAACCACCAGCTAGGCGGAATAACAAGAAAGCCCATCTAGAAGAAGAATAGAAAACTCTGTATTTTGCAATAGCACAATTGGAATTTCGAATCGATTTATAGAGTGTTGTCTGTGCTTTGCGGTTTGTGTGGTGTGTTGCATTTTCGAAAGATGCCTGGTTTTTTCTTTTTGTTTAGTGAGATTTTCTCGTATTTTTTTCATCAATTTCGGTGAGAGTGCTGTGCAACGAAAGGGAATACGCAAAAACGATTTTTTGTAGAAAATCGCGAGAGTCCCCGAAGGAGAAGACCATACATAGAAACGAAAAGGAGAAGGAAAAGGAAAGGCGAAAACGAAGCAAAGGCAGCGCAATAAGGTAGCAAAAGAAAAAAAAATGCAAAAAATAAAAACGATGTATTTGTTTGTGTGCGAAAGTGGAAACACCGTTAGTTATGCTAACATTGACAGTGAAAATGTGAAAAATACGAAAACGTCTGCATGGTGAAAATATGAAATGTGCTCAATAATACATTTTCACTTGACCCAGACGCTGGTATGTGTGTGTGTGTGCATGAGTGTGTGTGCTGCGAGTGTGCACACCAACACACACAATTTGGTGTGTGTGGTGTGGTGGAGAAGAGAGTGAGAGTTGCGGGAGAAGTTGCGAACCAGCTGGCTCGGCGGACGTAAATATTTAATTGCCCAATGGGCGTACATACATATGTACATATGTCTATACACACGTTGTATAAAAATACGGAAATGTGTGTACTTGGCGATTTTTGTTTATTGTATGTTATTGCAAACGAATTTCGAATCGCCAAAGGTGTGAGAGTTCCACAAAATCACAAAAAAAGCAGCAGTGGCAGCAGCGAAATCCCGAACTCCCCAAGTGGAATAACTGTTTTTGCGCAAAGTTGTCTGACTTTGTTGTTGTTGTTGCTGCTGCTGCTGCTATCTGGTTGTTGATATTGTAGTTGCACACAGACACGCTCATACGCAGACACCCTCGCAAAATCATCATCAATTACGCCCCTCCATAGAAAAAGCGGAGAGTGTGTGCGTGTGTGTGCTATCTTGCGCCTATCAAAGCTCTCTCTTCGCCCACACTCTCTCACACACACATGCACTAGTACCCGCACCCCCACCCGCACCCTCACCCGACACACACACACGTGCGCACATAGAAATATAGTCCCTCTATAGGCACACTTTCACTGATACTGTACCGTTTTAGTTTATTAGCTCGTATTCCGCCCTCCACAGTGGTGTTAGTTGGCCAGAAAGTGTGTAAAAATGTTTGTTGACTCGATCTACAGTGGAGCCTGGCCGAGTCGATCGACGCTTTTGGCCTTACGTCAGCTTGACTCACGATGGCCGACCCCAAAATGAATGGCAGACAGCTGGCTCGGTTGGGCGAAGCACCAAAACATCGTTGGTGGGGGAACTCCAAACTTAACCTTGGTGTGAATACTGTTTGCTGGGCTTTCTTGGCTTATTACTTCAAAGTGAAGCCGAAATATGATTTGTTCAGGAACTGCTAACATGAAGTTCCTTGATTGCTGCTTTATTTGCCACCTTACTATTCAGATATCAGAGATCACGTAGTCAGTTGCAGCTCTAGATAATCACCAGTGATCATAGATGACTCCCCTCATAAACTTAAAAGGGATAGGCGGTATATGGAAATCGAAATGAAAGGTGTTTGAAAGTATGCAACAAAACGAGGCGCCAACCTGTGTACATTCGCAGCCCAATAACATTCTGTTGCATACTTTCGCGCACCATTATGGGTAATTTCTGTGTAACCCTCGAATAATTGTTATCTCCTTGCCTTATCGTCTCTATTAGATATATGTACACTACACTGATCCCCAGCGGGCATTGTTTATCTTTTCTTCTTCGCACGCACGTGAAATACTTTTCAGCAAATTCCCAGATGTGCGAGTTCATGTGCGTAGTCATAAGTTATAGAAAACAGCCAATTACTCTCCCTGGGTAAAATTGATTGAGCGTCTAGTCGATCCGCAAACGGCCCTTAAATTGAAGTTATATCACGAGTAAGTAGCTCGATATCGATGTGAATGGTGAATAGCACCCATGGTGCTTCTATTATCGCATGTCTGGCCAAATAAGTTTGATGGCTTGGCCGTATTTTATGGCATCCGAATATCGAAAGAGTACAAACAAATTTAGCCCCGGCCAGCAAGTACATATGTACATATGTACATACCAAATCCCAAATCCAGACGTGAAAGTGCTGATTCCCCATTCTACACTGCACACTGTTATTTTCGCATTTACGGCGTAATTACTCAGCCAGATCTTGATGGAAAACGGCGGACCGATCGCCGCTACACTCATCTGTAGACAGTCCAGTTCACTCGAATAGGGCCACGCCGCCCCATCAGATGATATATAGTCTCATATCATTTATATTTCCTACTCCACTTGCATTTGTGATAAGACACAGAATTCTTGAGTCTTAAACCCTTTGGAACTCCAAATTACAGTCCACTTTGGGATAGAATTGGCCTCTTTAGTGGTTAACCACTATTGCAATGCCCATGCAGCCCAGGTCGAGGGGCAAATGCCAGGATCTCTATCCAATCAGCTTAGGAAAGCCGTTCCTATATATATGTAGTGCTTTACAGTTTTAGTTCCGAGGCACTGGAGCGCTGGCCTTGGCCAAATTAATGTGCGGGAGGAATAAGCCCTCAGAAGAACGTAAACAATGGGGCATCTTAAAGTAATCCTTTAACAATGCCCCCTGCCTAAGGCAGCTGTAATCGCATCAACTGCGCCGTGCACGAGATGGTAATCACTATCAATGCAACGATGAGCTCCTTTCGCTGCGAACCGTGGGCATCTTGAGTTTCCTCGGCAACCAGTACCAGTAACCAGTACTCGGTAGGCGGTAGTCGGTAGTCGGTAGTCAGGGCTGAGGGTTTGGTGCAGCATTCAGCATTGCGAGGGATGACTAAATGCTGCTTCAAAGACGATTTGCATCCCACGTTTGTGTTCTGTGTGCCCCGCAATACGAGGATGTGTGTGTGTGTGCCTACTCATAGTTAATTCAGCCTTGTTTACGAGTTGGTTAAGTTCTCCAAGAGGCTCGCACTTGTTTACTTTAAGGGCTTATTGTTCACTGCATTGCGGCGCATATAGGGCGGCTGTAGCATCCGGATTTTGAGTAGCAGGTAGGCGGTGCAATCAGATTTGATAAGTATATATACCAAGAATAGTACATACGTGGCTATCTCACAAACAGACCCAATGCACATTGACCAGCTCATTAAGTACTTATTTATTTGTACAATCGCTTATTAAGAGCTGCACAGGTGCGGACGGACAGACAATCGAAACACCCCGATATGTTTATTATGTTTGGCCATTTTTCATCGGCTGCAAGACTCAGGTTCCAATTGCAAGTGTACTTTGGGTTGCCAAAGTGAGGCAAAGCCGCCTGAAATGTGCTTGGGCGGGTCAAGAAGGACACATAATACCCGTATGTAATAAAAAGTGGGCAAACCCGATGTGCAGCAAATTAATAAAGTTTTGCTAACTGTGCGAGCATGTAACATTGACACAAAAAACAAGAAGCTAACGCAGAAGGCAGCCAAAGAGTCAACAGCAGCAACAACAACATGGACTGCAGGCAGGAAACCTCCCTCGCAAACGGAAACTCATTTGCCAACAGTTTGAAACCAACTTCCGGCCCAGTAACGACGACAACGACAAGGGCAGCCGCCTGCGACGAATGCATGACAAAAGTCACATTTGAATGGGCGGGTGGGGGCGGGCACTTCACGTGGGCGGGGCTTGTGGCAAGCGCTTCAGCAGAGGCGGCAACAAAGCCCAACGAAATCAGCGCTACTTATCAAAATTAGAACAGCAAATCTCGGCAAACAAATTAAATATAGTAAAGCAAACTGTGCCTCCGCTCTGCCTTTTATAAATATGCATATATATTAATGGTCCTTATAATGCCTCGGAATAAAGCGGGCCCATTATTATTACTGAGAAATGGCCAGCAAGCAGCAATTGCATCGAGAAATAGATTATTTGCGCGCTTAATCTCTACAGCTAAAGCTTGTGCAAGTAGTGCAAGCAGGTAAGCTAGTTGAGGGTTTTCTGGATAAGTCTAAGCCACTTTGAAAGCAACTTGCCTGATTAGGAATGAAGATGAAATATGAGTTTACAGCCTTCTTGTTATTCCAAGAAACCGTTCCGAAAATAGCCGCCATGAATGGCAATTCGTACTGCCTTCGCCTGAACCTGCGCAGATTTTTGCAGAATTACAAACTCAACCAATTCGAGAGATCGAAGTTTTGCGTAAAGGCGCCGAGCTAACAAGCAAATGGCTAAAGTACGCAATTGCATGTGTCCTTGGAGCGGTTTGCCATCGCTAACTACGCACCGGGCGTATCTTACATAATTAAATTAAATCCTTTTTAATTTGCTAGAAGCGGGTGCTCTTTGCATAAGGTGGGCGCCTAATGCAGTGCATGGGCCTAGAGCTCCGCTTGATTGACAAATGAACAAATCGATGGGAAAAGACAGTGCAAATTGCATTATTGATTGGATTCAACTGCCCGGGGATGTTTAGGTTGACTTTAGCCAACTATTAACAGTCAATGGGAACTCCCTGAAGGCTTTAATTAAGCTATGTGTAGCATATATTCTGAAAACAAGTATTATTTGCGCGTATGCCAAAAAGTATGCAACGAAAGTGAAACCTCCGTCAAACTAAGCTACTGCATACTTTTGCACACCTTCATAGGTGTTTTGCCAAAATTCCCTCCCAACGATCCATGTATTATGCGTACTTCCAAAAACTCCCTACTCCCGGTTGTTTTTTAGGGGCGTTGTTCGCCTGCATCTTATATGTGGTCGCCATATTGGTGTCACAAGCCCATATTTCTGCCAATGTAAGCCCAACAGCCATTGTTATTTTTAAATGCTATCATTAAAGGAGGCGCAGTAAAGCTGGCACATTGGAGTCGCACGCGAGCCGCTCCACTTCTATTTCTACTTATAGTTGACTGGAACGGAAAGAGGTCGATAGGGCAAAGTGCGTTTGTTAATGACAAAATGGTTATACAAGTGTGCCGCGGGCACGCACATACAAATAACAAGAATGGAGAGCTTACTTGCTTACTTACGAGCCCAAAGTCGAACACCCTCGCAGCTGCAAAACAATTTTGTATATTATTAGTACGAAAATAATGTAGAGAGGCCACTAAATTGGACTATTTATGCTGCAGATATAGGATATAGTCAGATAAGGTCCATATGGCCATGGGTATACCTCAGAGCCCTAGAGAAACTAGCGAGGTAACCTCAAGGATAAAACATAGTATCCTTGCTTCTCTGTGACGAAAGGGGAGTCACATAAACCAGCTTGAAAGGGGTAAAGGGGGTAAATGGTTCAGCTTGGCCCAGAAAAACGTATTTCCGCTTAAGTTCCGGGCTAAGGTGGGCGTTACAGACTGCGCCTGACTGCTAAAATAACTTAAAAAGGTGTCTGAAAGTATGCAATAAGAAATGACGTCGTCCTTTGGAATAAATGCTTTAAATGATCAAGTTGGCAATGTGTACAAACAGTAGCTGCATATAAATTGATGTATTTTCTGTACGTCTTTTGCAGGTTTTCACCAGCACACACCGCCTTTAAAGTCCTGACGCTGATACCTGCCATTTGGAGGCCATGAAAGCAGGATATTTATGGATAGAATAAGTAAAAGGCGCCCCAATCAATTTGAACACCACTTCAGCATCCTGCGGTGGTTGCTACAGCAAGCTGGACGAGAAGAGGGCACTCCAGAAGGGCTTCTCCGGCGATAGGCGATAGGCGATACTGGGGTCGTCACTTTTAACGGAGGGAAAAGAGAAGCCAACCCGACCGAACCATGAAACATTGTAAGTTTGCTTGTTAGTCAATCGACGAGTTTTCCTCGAAGCGCTATATTGTGAGGTGTTTTTCCTCGTAGCGATTTAATCAGAAATGTTTACTGTCCTCAATGCACTTGGCAGGTGTCTAAAAGTATGCAGCGAAAATAAGAATCATTATGATGAGACTTGCTAAGTGAGCATACTTTTGGACACTTATGGGAGACGACCAAACTGCTAAGAGTTCTTCCTGTTATATCATTTGCATTGATTATTCATATAGTCGAAATGAAGTAACCGTGACAATATTTTCAGCAAATATTTCCATACACAAAGACATGATGGAATTCGGGTAACTGAAACCGATAGCAACGCACACAATTAGAAGTAGGCCACACTCACCGAATACTTCATTAAGCGGCTAAAAAGCGCGTTAGAGATCATGAAGCGAACGGATATTTCCAGAACGCGTAAATGAAAGCACACTTGCGAACGAAGCAACTTTGATATATAGCACCCAAACCGAACTGTTCCCAGCGGATCAGTAAGAACCAGGACGAACAGGAGGACGAGGCGGACGAGGAGGAGGCGGACGAGGCCGACGGGCCAGAGACGGCAGCGAAACCGCCGCCGCGCCAGCGGGCACAGCGGTTATGGAACCACATGGCGGAGTGCCGCCGGACAGGGATCGGCAGCTGGTGCTCCGTAATCAGTCGGCGGCCATCGTGCCCGTGGTCGTATCTATACCGCCCGCGGGACCGGCTGCAACCACGCCCACCCCGCAGCCAGCGGCACATGCCCAATTGTCGCTGGTGCCCAGCAAGCCAACTAGTCTGAGTCTTCAGCCTCATGTCGTGCTCCAGGCCATGCAACAATTGTCGCCGTCGGCGGGCGGCAACAACAATGCCAACAGCGCAGTCGCCACCGCCACCGCCACCAGCAGCAGCAGCGGGAATGCGAACAGCGGCAGCAGTCCCGCCCTAGCCTCCACCGCCACCGCCATATCGGCCACAACGCAGGCAGCCACCGCCTTCAGCGGCAGCTCGGTGGGTCACCACCACCTGCAGCACCACCACCAGCACACGCATCCGCATGCCCCACAGCAGTCGCAGTCACAGTCCCAGTCACTGACACAGCCACAAACACAGCCACTGCACCAGCTCCAGCAACCGCATCCGGCCAGTGCGTCGAGTACAGCGCCACAAAGCCACCATCACGGCTCCATATCGGTCACTGGGTCAGGTGGACTACTCGGCTCCAGCGGCGGCAGTGGCAACCAACAGCAGGCCATCGAGAAGCTGTCACGACCCATGGCTTTCGATAAGGTGGGTTAAATGACCAGGCGCATTATACCTTGAAGCTTGAACTTACCTACAAATATTACGCATTTCTTTAGATGGAAATGCTGGTGCGGGAGATGCAGGATCAGGAACATGGCGTGCCTGTGCGCCAGCAGAAGATGTTTCTGACTTCCATACCATATGCGTTTATGGGTGAGTTGATAAGCAGACCGTTTAACTAATCGCTGATTGATTGTTGCCCACTTTTAGGATACGATCTAATTGAATGGCTGATGGATCGCCTGCAGATTGAGGAGTCGGAGGCCCTGAACATTGCCAATCAACTGTGTCTGCACGGCTACTTCTTTCCGGTCAACGACTCAAAGACGCTGACCGTTAAGGACGACTCGTCGCTGTATCGATTCCAAACGCCCTACTACTGGCCCTGGCAGCACAAGGCGCCGGACAACGTGGAGTACGCCATCTATTTGGCCAAGCGATCGCTGCGCAACAAGCAGCGCCATGCACTGGAGGACTACGAGGCGGAGGCACTGGCCTCCCTGCACAAGAACCTGAAGGGCAAGTGGGACTTCATCTCGATGCAGGCCGAGGAGCAGGTGCGGCTGGCCAAGGAGCGCAAGAAAGGTGACAAGATCGTGGGAGACTCGCAGGAACGTGCTTACTGGAGAGTTCACCGTCCACCACCTGGCCAGTTCACTCCGTTGGAGCCCTGTCCAGTGCCTTCGCGCGATCGTCAGGGCCTCAAGCCCAATAAAAAAAAGACTGTCGATGACATGCAGCGCGACGTTGACTACTTGGGCAAGTCGCTCAATCGGACGCGGATGAAGATGTCGCAGGCCTGCGAGTCGCTCGTTTGCTACTCGGAGACATTCTCCGAATACGATTTCTTTCTGCAGCCGGCACTGCCCTCCAATCCGTGGGTCACCGAGGATATTGCCTTCTGGCAGCTGAACAACACCTTTGTGGACATTCCCACAGAGAAGCGCGTCAAGCGCTGGGCCATCTCCATCGAGGAGCTCGTCTCCGATCCCACTGGTCTGCAGGAGTTCACCGGCTTCCTGGAGAAGGAGTACTCCCACGAGAACATCCGCTTCTGGATAGCAGTCAATCGATTGCGCCGTTCCGCCCACTCCCAAGTGGCGCGAAAGGTCAACGAAATCTACGAGTGAGTATGAGCCCTCCATGCACTCGATGTTCCACCTCCTTAATCACCTTTATATGTGTGCTCTTTCAGGGAGTTCTTGAAGCCCGGCGCACCTTGCGAGATTAATATTGACGGAAAGACCATGGAGAGCGTGCTCAAGGGCCTGAAGAATCCATCGCGGTTCACGTTTGACTCGGCATCGGAGCACATATACATGCTGCTGCTGAAGAAGGATTGCTACCCGAGATTCATACGGTCGGAGCACTACAAACGCCTGCTGGACACCGGCATTCAGCCGTCGTACAAGAAGCGCTTTTTCAACTTTGGCGGCGTGAGCGGTGCCAAGAAGAAAATGACAGCCGCGCTGAGTAGCCAGCCGAATCTGGGGGATGCGGCCAAAGGACCCGGCGGCACATCCGCCGGCAGCTCCATGATGCAGGCTCCGCCGCCCGGAAATCTCGCCCGTCGTCGTGGCAGCGATCGCAGTCTGACGGGCTCCGCCCACGAGCTGGCCGTGATCGGTGTGAACAAGGATGCCGGCTCCAAGGTACCGCACTCTCATTCCCAGAGTAATCTCAGCGAAATCCCCTTCAGGTAAGTGAAGATCTCGACCGGAAGTAGTGCTGAGTGAGTCAGTTCAGTAATCGATGTAATCGATGCTCAGCGAGCTAATTTTTACTAATTTTTCGCAATGTTTAATTTGCCTGAAAGAGCCAAGCTAAGCAAAAACATCGTTTTGATTTTTGGCTACCAAGCTTTTGGTTTACATACAACATATATACTACTATATACTACTAACTCTTTCACGATGCGCACGAGACCTTTAGAACGAAAAAGAAAAGATCGAAAAGAACAAGCAACAACCCGAAACCCCTCGTTGAACAATTGATACTATAACAATTGATTATATCATATATATGCCATACAATTTACATCACACACGCACTGCAGTAGCGATTCAATTTATCGAGGCGATATGCCACAGCGCCACATGGCGATCATGGATATTGGGATATATGCGGCATACGGGAATCGCGAAAGTAGTTTGCAGGCACTTCCGTAAGACATGTTTATTGATTGGTTTTGCGAAACGCTTACTACTTACCACTTGTACTAACTAAACTCTTTCCAAACCTAAAACGTAATGCTAGTTTTTTCCTATCCACACCACTTTTGTTCATCGTTCGATCTGTGCCCCATACCTCCACACCCATCCAATATTTGCGTTACCTGCCTTCTGTTTCCATCGACTTGTCGCCTCTTCTGCCCATTTTTGAGATGCAGTTTCGAAATAAGCCAACTGAAAGCTACTAGGCAGATATAACTTGCATATTTATTACATAAATAATTAATTAAGATAACGGAAAGGCTTCCAATTGCTTGGGGGAATGGGCGACATCCAATTCTTTTGTAAACTTGTTGTCTAACTTCACCGCAATGCCAAAACTATAACCGGTACTTCAGCCTGACGTTTTTTCTGAACGATTTGAACAATTTATTATGCTATTCATCCATTTTCTGGCTGAGGCTCCATCTAGTTGTGTACTTAACCTGTTTCAGGACATAACCCAGTCCGATTGATCTCACCAAGAGGAAGTAGCGAGTACCGGATATACAGAGGAAAGTCGGACGCACCGACTTTGGCATACCCACTTGCTGTTTCCTGTCATCTGTCCAGCGAGTTCCCATTGCCCCTGGAGTCTGTATGTCACCACTGCGATCCTGTTTGCCTCGCCTCTTTTCCAGACTCTACCAACTGTCTCCGAATATACATACATAGTTTCAATCGTTGCTATGCTCGAATGTTTGCTGTTGTTATACTATATTGTGTGTGTTCTGTACTATTTATGTACCATTTGGACATAAGCTAAATATGGCCGATTTGACTGTTCGTTTCCGGATGCTTCTCCCATGCGCCTCTTGCCCTTTTATGTTACTAATTGTACATATGCATATATGTAAGTCTACGTGTTGAACACCAGCATTCCTTTTAACCACCGTCTAAGTGTATAGAGCATATGGTTAGCAGGAACTGCCATAATGTATATATGTACCATGGTTTGTCCCGCAGAGAAACGCCAAAGACGAAGACCACCGTCCTCGACGCCACGGAGTCCACATCGTCGTCCACAGCTCTGGTTGTGGCGGCCAGCAGTGCCGTCTGCCCGTGGGATGAGCCAGCCGAACCAGTTCCGCCGCCGCCGGCGCAAGTGAAGCTATCCGTGTGTCCCTGGGAACTGGATAGTGCCACAGAGCCGCCGGCAGCGGCTCCAGTAGTGGGAGGTGGAGCGTCGAAGATCCTGAGTTCCACCGGGCAACCACTGCGATTGAATAGGTAGGCGCACAACAACCCGAAACTCCGGATGTTTGGACAGCAAGTAATCAACATTTTATGCGCAGCACTTCCTCGGACAACAGCGATGTGAATGATCGAATGCAGCGCAATTTGGGCATTCGCCATCAGAACACCGTGGACAGCGGCGAAGCAGGCATAAAGCGTCTGATTCCCAACATTCCGGAGCAGCGTCGGGCATCGGTCTCATTTACACCAAGGTAATCAAGTGCTTTCACACCAAGCCATCTCAAATTTGAATGCGTTCCTCTTTTCCTTGGCAGCCCCACTCCGGATTTCCAGCTAGGACGCACTGCAACGACGACCTCCTCGCCCACTGTGGCGCCCAGCAGCTCCACTCCGCTGCAGGCTCGCAGTGCTGTGTACGGCAGTGGCCAAGGCATCGCCAAAGATCCACCATCTGGCTCGGATGTCGATGCGGAATTGGAGGAGGAACTTAACAAAATATCCCTGGGCGAGTCCTCAACATCGGAACCGCCGCTTCTAGTGGTACCCACCCCCGAACAGACCCCGCCGCCCATAACCAAGATCACGCCGGCACCGGGAGAATGCGAGAATCAGGCGGATCAGGTGGTCGATTCGACCGAGATCCCGGAAAGCTCCTGCTCAACCCAAGCCAACCAGCTCAGCGAGGCCCCAGCGACTGTGACCACGGTTAAGGAGGTCCAAATCGAACTGATCGAGCAGAGCAGTGGTCTCCACACACAGCCAGGTAGTCCGCCCACCATTAAGGTCCTGGTGCTAGAAGCAAGTGCGCCCGTGTCCGCTGAGATCGCAGCAGCAGAACCGGGCGAGGATCAGGCACAGACAGCAACCACCGCCACCATCACCACCGAGGATCAAGCAGAGCGGGCGGACGACACAGAAAAGGTCGCTGACTTAGAGCAGACGGTTCTGGACGAGCTTTCACCAACCACCGACGAGTACCAGGAGGGACTGCAGTTTGGCGATGCCAAGGATGCAGTGGACGACTTTGACAGCATAGACGTTGGCTATATACCGCCAGCACCCACCCCGGCGCCCTCAATGGCGCCCCTGGCCGAACTGGACGTGGACACCGTGGACGACGAGCCCTGCGAGCCGTGCGACCCGCCCGCTCCTCCTCCTCCTGTTCCGCCCAGCAGCAGCAGCAGCAGGGAATTGGTGATGGCCTCCGGCTCGGCCTCGGCCTCGGTCACGGCCACGCCCACATTCAGCAACGAGGAGGCGCGCAAGCGGCGCAAGAAGCGAAACCCGGAGGGCAAGAAACTTAGCTCGCAGGACGAAAAGGACAAGGAGGCGCGCGAAAGGGCCGGCGGCAGCAGCATGGATGCAACTGACCACAATGCGGTGTGTCCATGGGAAGACGAGTTAGTATAAAGCCATGCGTTTCACCACCCATAATCCTGGCTAAGTCCGCTTTCTCCTTCTGCTCCCACCCAATCCTCATCCACAGGAACGTCAGCACCAACGACGGCACCTTCGTGAAGACATATGCCACACTGGGATACTTATGAATAAAGCCCAATCTGTTCAAGACGGTGGTCAACAAGTTGCTGAATAGGAAGCCATTGAAGAAGTAGGGCCAGGCCTGGGTAGCTAAGTTTATTATACGGAGTATCTATTATAATACGTACATGCAAACATACATATTATGTAAATGTAAGTATTTGAATAATTGAGTGTATGCATATGTAAATGTTAAATGCTTCTCAAGTTCTTCAAACCATTGAATCAAACGAGGCGCAGTGGTTTATTGCTGAAAATTTCAATTGAAATGAAATCAAATGAAAAGAATTGAATTGAAATGAAATGAAATGAAAACGGTCTATGAATGCTACAAAAGTACATACTTTATCTACAGACGAACATACTTATTTACAAAACCAAGTGGCTAACGTGGCTAACGTGGCTAACATGGCTAACTAGAATAACAAACAAAAAAAATCAGATGACAACTAAATGGATATTAATGTGTTTAAAGTCGCGAGTGCCGCCTTCTGATCACTTGTAAAAACGATAATTAAACGGAGCTTAGATTCGGCACAGCAGAAACACTTTAATGTATACAATGTATATGATCTTTCTGTGCATAAGAAACAATTTTCCATAGTTAATTCGAAGCTATACATATATAGTCCCCTTCAAAGTCAAAAAACAGTAATCAAGATCGAGATGAATAGACCATAAATTGTATTATAAACTTAGGACAGCAGTGGGAGCAGTTTTCACAATCCATCTGCGATCAACTCTATGTATTTTTCCCTGGAAAAGCTCTTGTTATCCCAGCAGATTTGTGACATCGAGCCCAAGCTGAGCTGGTAAAGGGCAAGCTGGTACTGGTACCTGGTACTTGGAATTATACCCAAACTGTATTCTCGGTGCCTTGCGCTAGAGCTGCCTGCGATTGGTGGTCAGTGATGGGGACAATACTATCTGAAATTGTAATGGTGATCATCCTTGCCCTCTGCCAATGCCAACACCAGAACCCAAGATTTATCCAGCTAGTAGTACAAAGTGTTGGGCCTATGTAACCATGGCTCCGATTCACCAACTATAAGTGTTACGGAATAGAATCCCCTCGGATAATTAAATGCACAAGTTGCTGCGCAAGTAGCTGCCACTTGATATCTCTGTTTGAAGTCGTCTGTCTTAATGCAAATGCAATTAGTTTAATGCAAAGCCGTTTCATTTCACGCGTACATGCCCGAACTCACGAGCCCCAAATTGATGTGCAGTGAAAATGAAACACAGTTTGAAAAACGCATAGAGCCCTAGCCAACCAAAGTCTATATACGCGTATGTAATATTATATTTCCCAGTTTATGTACGAGTATTTGCCGATGCGAAGCTGACTTGCGCGATTAACTTGTGCATTTTAGATTATATACCTACGTCCTACGACTACCTAGTAATTTTCTCTATTCGACTAGAAATGTATTGAGCTGCCCGCCCAAACAATCGCAGAAATCGAGCTATGCCGTATTACACTAACCACTTAGAGCCAACATCGATGGGAGTGAGGCGAGATGGGGCGCATCTTTAAGATCAAATTGGTGTTCGATTCGAACGTGTTAACTTAACTTAAAGTGAATCTTACAAATACACGTACAAGAATATATGAAACAGATAAACAAATAAATTAGAGAATCAAATTAAGATGAAATCCTGGTTGTTCGCGACTAATACCTTTATATGAATCGAAAGATGATAACTTATCGAAGAACTATTACAATCTAAGTACATATATTTCTATTTTCATTGTGCATATGAATTAGCTACTTTACTGTCGAAAACCGTTTTGCTGGTAAACAATCTTTATATGGGATATCTGAGTATCTGAATATCTGAATTCTCTTTGTGCTTTCTATGCTAAACATACATTTTTGAACTAATTCAATTAACGAGACGAAAACGCAGAGCAGTAACACTTGAAATCCGAGATCCGTAAGTCCCTAAAACGATATCCAATGTAAAGAGCGTACCAAAAATCAAAGCAAGTATTGCATAGATATTACGAAACATTACGATGGTATGATGGGGAGTACATACATATTGAACTTATATAGCATATAGAAAAATAGGAACGATGAGCCGATGTGTAGGGCGTGCGTACAAAATGTGTACATGAAACCACCGTTAACTTTGCTTAATGCGAGCCGAGCAATTAAAGAGTTAAAGAATAAAATACAAAATACAAAATACAAAATACGAAATACAAATGAGAATGAAAAATGAGAAATGAAAAGAGAATAACTAAAGCAAACAGAATAAACCAGCAGCAGCAATAGTTCCGAAATTGTTGTCGAAATATAATAGCAGCTTTTAGAACAACACCAAAGAAGTTGTAGTAAATGCAGAGGAAAATTGTATTGTTGTTGTTTTTTATGTACATTTACTTTTTTGTATTACCGTTGTTGTAAGTCAAATATGCCAAAAATGAATAGTTTACTAAGAGTTTACAACAAAAGATTCAAATGCAGGCAAGATATGAATTACTTTAAACGCAAATCGCAAGAACAAGTTCCGAATGTTTTTAGTAGTCAATGGAGAATATCTTTTAATCGCTTACACTAAGTGTTCCCATGCATATTTATGGGTTCCTTGCCGAAACAGAAATCTTAAATAAACACAAATATAACACAAGAGCGCGGCTGTCGACTTTACTCTTCCCGGTACTCAAAATGTTCGAGTAAAACAAGTGAATAAGTTACTGATTCATTGATGCAACATGGAACGACTTTAGCTAATGGAGAATCGTGTTATTAGATCGTATTTAATTGTTACCTAACTTTATCCCACTTTGCTATATTTCAACGTTTCGTTGGGCATTTGAAGCTTTTTCCAACCATAACATTCAATAAAAATCGTCCCAGTTGATAGGAAATCGAAATACAAGATCAAACATTCGCATACTAAGGAATATTTATCTAATTTCAAGTATTTAACTTTAAATTAATTAATTTTCAGTTTGAAGAAGCTATTTTCGTAATGATCCAGAAATGATTTTTTAGAACTCTGGCCGATTTTTCGACTGTAGCGTTGGAATTTCGAAACCAAGAATGTTAGTCGTACCATTATGTTATTTGGATTTTTGAGTATCGGGTGAGCATAGAACTAAGGAACCATTCGAGGTCCGATGGATTGATTGAGCCGCCATAGCGCCATTTTGATAATAAAGAACAAAGAATTCGATAACTAATATATGTTTAATGAATTACATAAGTATGTACTACTTCACGCGACAGGTGGGTGGCATTGCCCTACAAATATTTACTTTAATTTCTGGATAATTAGTGCTCATATCACTGATTAGAGGACAGGAATGCGCAAAACAATATGCTTAATACATAAGATTCCAGAGCTTTTAGTAACGCCATGTAAATTCTGGGTCATGAATACAGTTGTGAAGATTGAAGATTGAAGAATGTAACCGAGGCGTTTGTTATTATGTATTCAAGTCATTTACTATAAGTGTATACAGCTTATACTATTATAAAAGTGTTAAAAACATGAATTATTTTGAGAAAAAAAACCCAAAAAGAATATACAACAAAATGTTAGTCGGTAAATGAAATCAAATGTAAAACAATTTAATGTAGACTGTACTAAAGAATTCAAGGAAATTTGAATATCAACACTCCATCACGCAAATAACTAAAAGGAAATTCGCAAATTGAATAGAAGTTGATGGGAAAATTATTTGCACAGTGCAGAAAAACGTGTTATAAAATTATTATACTATACAAAAAAACATATATTATTGAATTATGCTGATGAAATTAAAAACCATAAAAGTATGTAAAAAAAATTCAAATACAAAATGATTTAAATGAAGTACAATAAATATTCAAGTGACGAAAATGTACGGGCTGCTTCTTTTCAATGGGAATATTTCGATTGATTGAATTGATTATTTAAACTGATTCTGTATGTACTGTTGTTGTTAATCTTTATATTAATGGTAATAAAACAAATTGAATTTAAAATTTTGGGCGCGTACATAAATATTTGGTATATTTAATTGCTGCATTCGAGGTGCGGTCACACTGTTGGGTTCGCGGCACTTGCGGTCAATCGATAACATATCGCGCCTTCTGTTATCGAAAGACAGCGAATAGTTTTGTTTGCAAACACAATTTAAAGTAAATAAAAATTATAACACAAATTGAAGTTAAACTTACCTATGGAACCGGTGGCCATCCGGCCAAAGGCACCAGGAGAGGCCAACTGCGGAGCCCTGCGGCTGGCGGCGAAAAAGCCGGCCAAGAAGCGCATGTACCACTGCGGCGTTTGCTTGGCGGAATTCCCTGGTCATTTGGCCACCAAGCGGCACGAGCAGCATTGCGCAGCCAAGTTGAGGCGTCTGTTCGTCTGCCGCCACTGCCTGACGCTCTTCGGCGAGGAGGCCCGGCTGGAGCGGCACCAGAAGCGAAAGCACGTCGACGGTCAGTTCCTGTGCCTCCAGTGCGGCAAGCGGTACGCGTCCGCCACGTTTCTGTACCGCCATGTGGTCAGCTGGCACGGCGAACAGTCGCTATTCTACTGCGCCATGTGCGCGGACAACTGCAACGATGTGAAGACCTTCAGCGGGATGCTGGAGCTTCAGGAGCACGCCGAGGATGTGCATCGCCTGCGTTCCCTGGAGTCCACCGCCAGTGAGGCAGGTAGGTATCCTGCTAAGAAACTATTGTGGTTTTAATGATATAGCCTGTTTAATAATAATATTCAATACAATACCCGCAGGCAGCCAAGTTGATGAAACGCAGAACCTTGAGATGCTGGAGGAGAACATCGAGGACATATTGCCCAGCATCGACTGGGACGACGATCTCACCTTTGACTGGCCCATGGGCCTTAACAAGGAGTCGTGTATTGTGGACGCGAAGCCGAGCGTTTTTGTGTGTCCCTTGTGCGCCAACGGATTCACCGGCAGTCTGAGCCTAGTGCGGCACCTGGAACAGGTTCACGAGCGCAGTCCACTGGTTTGCTGCTACTGTGGCAAGAGCCATGGCAGCCGAGAAGCCCTGCGATCGCACCTGCAACGTGTTCACGTTCTGTTGCGCGGTCATGTGTGCAGCATTTGCCAAGCAGACTTCGCCACCGCCGATCATCTAAAGAAGCACGTGAACAGCCAGCACCTGAACCACCGACCGCATCTGTGTCCCACCTGCGGCAAGAGATTCGCCCAGCGGTGCCACCTCATCCAGCACTTGGCCACGGATCGCGGCCATGGGCACGGCAAGTACGTCTGCCAACTCTGCCTGTGGCCCTTCTTTCGGGCCATCGATCTCGAACGCCATGTGATTAAGAAGCATCCGTAGGGCAGTCATCCTAGCGGGCATCGTAGGTACCTTCGGTGTTATAAGTAACACCTTCTCACGTCTGGAATTACGCTTAATAACTACTTATGAAAAGAGTAAATGTAAGGTTTCATTATCTTTATTATTTCGTTTGTATAGATCTTTAAAGTTACTATTCGTGTTATCGCAAATGTTTCTCCAAGTGAACTTGAATTGAAAGTTTGAATTTTTGCTGTAAAATAACTGTTTACAAGACGACCTAATTTACACCTTAAGAACTCACTGGTACTATAAATATATAAATGTTGGTTTAAATTAAAAAAAAAATGTATTTCTAAATTTGAATGCAGATGTTTAGAGAATTGCTTCAGAAACATTTAGAGGTATGCCACTTCAAAATCAGATTAAAATAAGTTGAGTTATGGGGTTTAGAACTTCAGACTTGGGACATTTCTTACTTTTTTGAATCTACAGCATCCTAACATCAAAAAACTGACAAAAAAATTACAAAAAAAATTGAATTTAAAAAATTTTCCAAATTTGATTGCAGATGTTTAGAGAACTGCGCCAGAAACATGTGGAGGTATGCCACTTCAAAAGCGTGAGTCGGACCGCGGTCTCCCAGCGTTAACAGTGGTCTTGATCTCGTGCAACCACTGTTAGCTGCCAGCTGATCCGCTCCAGGCCCCAAAGCAGGGAGAGCGCTGAGCGGAGCGGCTCGGATTGGATGTGAGTGGAGCGGAGCGGAGTGGAGAGCGCAATGCTGCGACAGCTGGTTACTGCTACTGTTATTGGCGACTGTGATAGGGGCGCAGTAACTTGGCCCACACCGACGACTCGACAGTTTTGAACGGAACTTGCTGGTGTTTGGATCGCAGCTGCGCCGATCTCCGCGAGGCTAACGCCACCGACTACGACGAATACAAAACCCAATTTGTGCACAATATTTTTTTTTGTTTGTTTTCCGTTTCGTGCTAACTAAACCATTTGTGCTGGTGATCTCCGTATGAAACAGAATATTCCGAATTTTCGAGCAGTGTGTCCATAGAGTAAGTGGTGGCTTCTCAAAATTAATTCAACACAAATCAGCACCGTAAACACTCAAGCCAGCGACCCTCGACTGCGACTAACATTTAAACTGAACCTGCTTTTTGTTATTGTTTATATGTTTTCCACTTCTGCCCCATTGAAGCCGGGCCTTAAAAAAGCTCTCCACAGCGCACAGCCAGTTGTTATATTTTTTTTTCCAAATAGCTTTCGACCAAAACCAGAACACTGTATTATCATTAACAAATGCAAACGAAAAAAAAAATGATACAAAAAGTACAATTGCAATTAACGTTTTTTGATCTGGCTGTTGAGTTACCCCAGTGGGTCTGTGGAAAACCCATGTGAAAACTGTTGCGCTTGAATTCCCCCGCGACTGAAAACAAAGTCTAAGCCGGGCTTAATCGGTATTCAAATCAAAATCCGTCAAATCGCATGCGAATCGCAGATTAGTGAATCACTAATGCAAGTGAACTGGGCTTAAATGTGGTCGCTGCCTTAAATTGCAATATATCAAGTTGTTTATCATCGAGTATTGCGGATAAATCGTCAATAAAGTTCAACAAACTAATGATGGCGATGATTTGTGTTTTTTTAGTGAAAACATTTAAAGTGCTCAAGTTCTTAGATGCCATTTTATAAAAATAATTTTGTTTTTTATGCAAATTTGCAGTTTTATTTATTAAAAGGAAACACGTTTCATGATAAAGTTGGCTCACAAAAGTCACACCTAATACAATATATAATGATTCTATTTTAATACTATTTTGTTACGTAAAACAATCACGTTCAGCAACATGAAAATGACCCATAAAGTTGTGTGCAAATGTAGTATATATTCCATGGAAAAACTAGACCTACAGTTTAGAAAGTTTTTATATCCTACAAGGAAACTATACCTAGATAAAGTTGCACCTTCACCAGAAACCTTATTTCAAATATGTTCTAGTTTTTCAAAAACTTTTCAATATTTCCGCCGTCCAAAAGTTGAAATCGGTTAAGCTTGAGCTCGCATTCCAGACGTCGCCGTTGACCCGATCCCTTTGGAAGCCCTTTGGGAGCAAATCCATAATTTATCTTGTAGAACTTGTAGAACCCATTGCCCATTGCCCTCCTGTAGCCCCAACTTTTGCCGTTACTTGTTTGTTGTCTGCTCTGCTGCTCCCCATCCACATGGGCCCATGCATGGATGCAGTGGAGTTATTATCATGTCTATATTGTAATTGATTTGCCTGAGCGAATAGCCCGACGGGGAGACAAGCTCTGGGCCTGTTCCCTGATCTGCCACGCCCCCGCCGACGCCACAGCCGCCGCCTCCGCCTCCGCAGGCTTATCATTAACGCTCGAGTCTTCATTTTGTTTTGAAATTCTTGTGCAGGGAGCAATTGCCTGGTCGGCGGAACTCCCTTCGCGTAATTGGGGACCGCCCAAGTGGGGATCGCGGTCCCGAGATGATTCCTTTCGGTTTCTCGCCATCTCCTCCCTGAGATTACTTTATATGCGTTGATATCTTCGGGTGACGCACCGGGAAGGAATGCCTCGAAAGTGGGAGAGTAAATACAGCTGGCACCTGCGCAAACTTGATACAGCTCTATAGACTATTTGATACCTGTGGCATAGATCAAATTACCATTGTAGGTTCAATCTTTTCTTCCCCGGTCAACATCTTCGAATAAAGCTTGTAAACAGTGTCTTAATTGCGTATTTTGGCACACTAGCTGCCACCTATCACATACTCATTGTTGACCAGATTGCCCTGAAGTTAGCACACCTTTTCAGTACGGGGTATTGAAAGCGACCTGTAGGAGGAGTAACAAAAGCCTGGCGCTTTCGCAATAAGTATTCGCGTTCATATTTATAATTTAAAAACGTGCTGAATTTTGTAATCTGTACGCAGTCAGTACCTGGCGCTCTCTCTCTCTCTATCTTTCCCTCCCCGTCTCTCTCACTCCTTGACGATCTGCAATATCTGCGCTGACGAAATGCCTCAGTAGCAAAAACAACAACAACTGATAACTGATAACTGACTAGACGCGCAATATTAACCGTTGAATGGGGTTGAGGAGACCTTCGATGCGACAGGTTGTGCAATCATCCAGAGTTCAAAAATTTGCCATATATTTCGAAACATATTTTCAAACCCGCGTTCATTCCAAACGCCGAAATGGGATCTAATGAAATGTTATTCAGATAGAGTAGTGAACAATTTGTATACTTTCGCAAATCCAATTGGAATTTATCCCGATGCTGTCCATCCACTGTTAGCTTAACAGCTGTTAGTCCACACAAAGCTTGTGCAGCAGCCGCCAAAAACGAAAAACAGAATAACAACAACAAGAGGGCACAGGAATGTCAAGATGATTCACTCAGGTGCGTGACACCTGGCAACAGAGCGAGAGAGAGGGAGAGGGAGCGGGAGGAAAAGAACAAAACGTTGGGTCTGTCATATCAATAGGCATTTGTTTAACTGTTAAAAAGAGCCAAATAGAGTAAGGAAAACAGAAAGGAAAACAGCGATAGCTGCTTTCTTGTGTGCGTGAGTGTGTGTTGATTGCACCCACAAATAAACACTTGCACACCCACGCTGCACCGAAACACGCAAGTGCAGAAACACACACAAATTGAAGCTGCAGAGGAGTACCGTTACAAGGCGAGCTTAAAGCTATTTTTAACACCACCCGATCTTGCTCTCCTTCCCCTTTCAGCACCTCCCCCACACTTTCTGCTATCTCCTTTCCTGTGTTGTTGCTTGCATCACTCTCTTCTCACTTTGCTCTCTTCGTCTTCCCTCGTGCACTGCACGAAATCAGGATCGCTTCGAAAAGGTCCACGCAAATTGTTCAGCTCAGTGTTAGGATCAGTTAAAGTTGAGAACTTTATATGATATTATATTATACCCGCAATTTGCCCCATTCTAATTATTATCTGTATCTTACAAATCGCTTTTCGACTTTAAAACGATGCTACAATAAAAAGCATTTGCTGCTCTTTTCATAGCGCAATGCCATGATCTATTAACTGATCTATTAACTATTTAAAGGTCCTAGATCAATCTGTTTATACCATATAGCGAATCAAGCTCCTGAACTCAGACGCTTTTCCCAGAACCAATCTACACATATGTATGTATGTATGTATATCCTATCCATGGGGGAGCATATTATATGGCTATGTTTACATCTGCCTCACTTCTTCGTCTTATTTTGTTTTGTTTTGCATTTTAATGAATGAACGACTGTTGCGATTTTACAATAGCCATTTATTTATTTGTTTTTATTGCTATTCACTAGGCTGATAAAGCGCCTTGACCAGCCAGCTATGCACAAATCTGTCTATATGTACATTAGTATGTAGATATGTATTACTGGAACCTATCACTATCACTGGGCGTGCGGTTCGTTATCGACAGCCCAAGAAGAAGCACAAGCTGAGCAGCTGAAAGGGAAACGCGAACTGACCTATAATAAGAATTTTCACATTTAAGCAGTACGCAAAAGAAACAAGAGCAAGAACAAGAATATGCGAACGAACGCAAGGGAGTGACGAGAATAAAAACAAATAATAATAATAATATGCATTAAATGCCAAAGCCACAGTGGAGCCTGCACTGGAAATAAATTCGTGAACTTACCAGCTGAAGGCGCAGACCGCGAATTCTTCAGCTCACAAGCAGAACGCGAATTCTTCAGCTCACAAGTAGAACGCGAATTCTTCAGTTGGCTCATGGTACCTGGGATTTCTTTTCCATCGAGCCAAGCTTACTGTCATATGCAGGAAATATTAAACTGCCTACGCACTTAGCATACAAAGTGGAGTTCCTAAAACAGGAAACCGACTGAAGAATTCCCGGAGAATCGAGTATTCCACATTGTCGGCGATTACACAAGAATCCTGCCGCCTTTTGCCGGCTTGGAGGGCTCCAATGGCCACAACTGTAGCTGATTTACGAGTCAGGGCATGTTCATATCGAATGAAACATAGCCGTTTCGACAGCCGTCGAACAAACGCGACTCATTCATGGCCAGAAGTGGTAGTGGTAGTGGCAGTGCATTGTTTAGTACCGTGTAAGCAGTGTGCGCAAGGGAGCGTATTGGTCACCTCAGTCGTTTTGTAACCGTCTTGAACTAGCTTACCCATTGTTTACTCGGCATTGTTAGATATTTGTTGAAAACTTTATGATTGCAATAGAGATTAAGGGGGCTGTTTATCTAGTGCAGCTGGTGACTAACGTCCGGTTTTTGATTGTCTCACTGATATGCCTGACGCACCATTTCGTACCCTCGAGTGATAAGACGTTTAGACGTATCAATGTCAAGTTGGCCGTCGCAGGTTTTCGCTGCCTTCATAGTTGGTCAACATCGCGCTCATAACCGCACTGACCCCAATTCGAATGGAAAACGTGCCCGCCCACCTGTCACCCACACCCGAAGAACACACCTGCCCGAAGAATTGACATTGTGCAGGGGAAGCAAATAAACCAAGACGATAGCCTAGGAAAACAATACGAATCTCTGGCTGTCGTCTTCCAACCCGACCCGTGCATCAAGTCGTAAATCAGTCAGAGGGAGTCTGGAAACAAAGGGCGACTTTACACCTCTCCCGGCATAAAAAGTTAAAAAATATAAAATTTCAAATCTCGAATCTTCGCGGCTGGAGAGAATTTTCCAAGCCAAATTTAGCCGAGTTTCCAGATACCGGAAATGTCTTGTGTGTGCTTAACACATGAATCACCTTCCAATCGTTCACTTCCGCTTATTGTAACGCCGGAATTCAATTTAAATTAGTATTTACAAATTAATGAGTTGTAGGAGCTGAAAGTCGGTTAAGTTAAGTTCGATATTAACCATGTATTCTCCCCTTGCTTCAGATAATTGCCTTCAAACGCCATTGGCAGCCCTTCTTCCATCACATCCGCATGGCCATGTCCCGAATCCGAAACCGAATGCGAAACCGCATCCTGGAGCCCATGCAGCAGAACCTGCTCCTCCTGCCACTGCTGCTCCTCCTCCTGATCGTTGGCGAGGCAGCGGCTGGCTCCTTGGTCTCCCCGAACAATAGGCAGCCATCGCAGCGCTTCTTCTACGCCGCCGCCACGTCCTCCTTCTCCTCGCAGACCAAGGTGCGCCTGCTCCGCCAGGCGGACGATCCCAGTGCGTCGGGTGCGCCGGGTGCGCCGGGTGCACTGGAGGGCAGCTGCTGCCAAGGAGCGGCCGCGGAATCCGGAAAACCATTGACGGTAAGCCAAATGCTACAATCCCTCCAGCATCCAACAAAATACAGAAATATTGGGAGTTATGTACGTATATTATCGAAAAAGATTAAGATCCAGTTCAGATATTTGAAAGCTGCTCTAAGCAAGTTGAAAAATGTGGGGTTTATCAGAGGGGTTCGAGTGATATAATTGAATTGGAATTTTTTTGAGTACCAAGGGGCATTCCCATTACACTATTTTTGGGTTTTTCTACATTTCTTCTAAAATAAACAAGAACGTGCCACTTTAGAATCGCTTCTGCAAACATAAACCATCCTGCGAAATCCCAGGAGTGAAGAATTGCAGTTAGTCTTGTATTTAGATAGTATTGCTATAACATCTGGCTGCATCTAGATGGCGCCACTGCGACGCCTAGAGACATCGCCTATTTGGGTCAGCATCATCGCCGCTGTTTTGTTTGCAGCTTGATAAGGCGCAGCCTCGCTGCACACCCCAACCCCAGCAGTAACCCCAACCCGATCCCAGATCCCAGATCCCAGATTTGAGACCCCAATCCCAGACCCCAAACCTCACCAAAGATCGGGAGCAGTCGGTGGACAGTGGCGCCGTTGTCTCCGCATCTTCGCACGCAGCGAAAAGGAATAGCAACTAATAATAGCACCAGAAGTGCATTTTTAGCTGAATTTATTAAATTACTAACTTGTAGCTCCCTTAAAACTAAGATTACTGAGTATCAGTAGCGCTAATCTGCTTATTAAATGAAACCAAAGCAGAACTCTATGTATGTAGAATAGAATACATGTAAGTTACGGATACCTTTTAAAGGAGTTTCCACTGCCGGCCCAGTACCATTTCAAAGTGTAGACCAGATTTCGCTCAGTGCGCGCCTTTCTGCTTCTGTCTGCGTCTTTGGCATTGATAACGAGTGCCGCCTTGATTCCAAAACAAATAATTCGCATTACGTTTTTAATTGCCCGTTACTCACTGCCCCCCACACCCAGTAGTTTCCAACTCCACCCCCATGGAAACCAAGAGTTCTGTTTGCGCCGGTGCCCAGATCAACAAAAGATTTATGTGTGCATTCATATGTACATATATTAGGTGGAAGGGTTCCTTTTCTTTGGGGATTACGGTGGAGCAGTCGCAGTGGCTGGGTAAACAAGTGGGGATCGGTTTCTGGGCACTCGGCAAATACCCACTGGACGCAGAAGTCGAAACAAAAACAGTTCCGATATCGGATGGCAATTAGTGTTCCAACTGCAATTCGCTTCCTGGAAGCTAATCAATGAATAAATATTTGGCTTGACGAATCTATTATTCGTGGTAAGCATTCTTTTTGGGAATTAGTTCTGAGTTAGGAAATTAGTTATTTTCTGCCTTAAAACGAATTACTCAGGCTGATAATCAAAAACACAGTAATAAATTTAGTATTGCCTTTGTTAGTTGCTAATCTGAACCCAGAACAGTGAACCCCACTGTGAAAATAGTTACCCCAGCTTCTTTCTCTACGATCGTTAGTATCGCGGCGGTTAGTTAACTTTTAAAATATGCCATTTCCTCGGCGATCGTTTGTCATTTGCCCTTGAACTTTCTCCGCATTGTGACGCAGCTGCTGTTGCTGTTGCTGTTGCTGTTTTCTATATCTCCGATCTCCGCCCGATCTCCGCCAGATTGGACAATTAGCGACTGGAGTCGCAAATGTCGCTAATGATTCATGGCCCAGAGCACGGCCAACGTCACAAATATACATACATATGTGCGAACGTGCAAATTGGCCGAAACCAAGTCGTCGACGACGCCGAGAACTCGGTGGCACGTGGCTACGGTGCGGATTCACTTGCTCCTCTGCCGCTGGAAACGGCTACCGCCGAATCGCGATCGAAAACAGTCGAAATGAGCAGGTGACGCACGATGGCGTCGATGTGATGTTTATTCAAACCATTTCTATGCATTTGCCGTCCGTTTTTCAATGGAATCTTGGCGTCAATTCGACGGGGAGTTCGATTTGAATGGGCTGTGACTAAGTCCAAGTGAATGTGCGGATGAACTGAAACCATGTCCAATCCATCTTACAGCTGCCACTGGCCGTGTCCGCAGAGCTGACCAACGTGACCAGCGCCGACTACGATGTCTCCGGCGAGATGTCCTCCTCCAAGGGTGAGTACTGGGACACCTCCATGCGGCATTACAACTGCATTCACAAACTATCCCTCTTTGCAGAAAACTTTAAGCGCAGCATCATGAAATGTAAGCATAACTAATCAAATACCCGATCATTGGGCATCTACCAATTAGTTGATCCCTATGCCCATCCTCAATCCCCAGCAAGCGTGAGGAATGCGACGCCGGCGAGCTGCTCCCCGCAACCGACGATCGTGGAGCTGAAGCCGCCGGCGGAGGACGAGGCGAACTACTACTACATGCCCGCGTGCACGCGGATCAGCCGTTGCAATGGGTGCTGCGGATCCACACTGATCTCCTGCCAGCCGACGGAGGTGGAGCAGGTGCAGCTGCGGGTGCGCAAGGTGGACCGGGCGGCGACCGGCGGACGGAGGCCGTTCACCATCATCACCGTGGAGCAGCACACGCAGTGCCGCTGCGATTGCCGCACGAAAGCGGAGGACTGCAACGTGTACCAGTCGTACCGCAAGGATCTGTGCCGCTGCGAGTGCCACAACACGGACGCCAGGGACAAGTGCCTGGAGCAGGCCGAGAACAAGTACTGGGTGGACGACAACTGCACCTGCGTCTGCCGCTACAACCAGAGCTGCACCACCGGCACCGTCTTCGACGAGACGCAGTGCAAGTGCACCGACGTGAGTGGCACCCGATAGGACACAACTATCCGGGGGCTCCCCGGAGGCTCCGCGGGCAGGGATTGGTTTCGATCTGGTCTGGTCTGGGCTGGGGATCGGTTGTGCTCGTCCTTGGTTGGTTGGCGGTTGCTTCCTGGTGGTGGCTCCCTAGCTTAAGCTGTCCCGACAAGTTCCTCGCTTACTTATTGTAGTTGTTCCCCACAGTTGATAGTTTCTTGGCAATTTACAGAATTATAAATAATAGAGCTTGAAAGCTAATAGAACTTCACTCTGCGCGAATTCTTAAGCAATTTAGTTTCCGCCTAAGAGTTTACTTTTTTTTGGATCCATTTCTATTGCCAGTTCTTCAAACAAAAGAATTACAAATAACTAAAGCGTAATTCTAAGCAATTGATTAGTGAAAAACATTTATTAGAATTAGTTCACAGGTCTCAGGTTCCACTGTCTTGTTTTTGGTTTTTGTTTAATCTTAGAGTAGACTGTATTAATACTTTATTGTTTGTTCAACTGCTAGCACACACTCTATGTCTTTTACGTAATTTAAGTCACTGTATAAATGTATGTTCTTACTTCTGTTTCTTTTGTGTTTCGTTTTAGATTAAAAATGTCGAGTATTATTCTTAGAGTCCACAAGACACAGTCCACAGCACACACAACACACAAATTTGTTCGATTGAGAAACCTAAAACTCTTGTGATACTGTTAAATTAACTTTCTCGAAAAAAACTAACTTTAATTAGCATCTTCTGCTTAGCGATTGGTTAAGGATTGACAAATAAATGAAATGCATTAAATAAATATAGCTGAGTTGAGGCAAAAAGAGGGAGAAGGGAGTTGCATTGTGTGAGTACTTGTCCTGCTTTTATGTTTTTTGAACCCGCTAAGAAATGCTAATATCTCCCACCTGCATGTCTAATCTTCTCTATAAAATGTAATTGATGACCCGATTTCCCAATTTCCTGCTTTTAGAGTTATGCACACATATGCCTAATAAAAACTGCAATTTGTTAATTAATTCATTTTCGATTTACCCTTCCTAGCCGGCTGCACCCCTCGATGTTTTGGACCGCAAGCGCTTCATTGTCCAGGCGGTACAGGTGGACCCCGATAACACCACCCTGTACAGTGTTTGAGGAGTACGAAGTAGAAACGCCTACTTTCCTAGCGGGGTGAATTCCCGAGTACTGAGAAGGTAATTGCCGAGGAATTGCACCGTGTACTTTACATTATTTATAGTTATCGATTAAACCTAGGCTTTAACTGCAATCCGCTTACACTAAACACACAGTATTTACTCCCATTCCATCTGCGGCACAAAAAAAAGAAAAATCTTTAATTGATTGCGCAGAAATCTCTGCCAATTGGATATTTACCTAAAAGTGTATGGGTTGGTTGGTTGGCCAGTAAAAGACCACAGAAAAGTGCACTATTAGATATATTTTCGAAGTATTTTAGAACTTTCGAGATTTCTGCGCAAGTCCTGTGTATTAATTTTTATGAATTTGTTTATATAACATTTTAAGCGCCTTTCACTTTGTCACGGCTTTGTACACATTTGTTGATTTCCGTTTGTTTAAGTTTTAAGTCATCCAAAATGAGTTGTCCACAAATTAAGAGCTAAACAATAATCCGCCGTACTTTATTTGTATGTAACTTTTTTTTGTAAAAAAAATGTTAGACTTAAGTTTACGTAAAGAAAATGCAGACAAAGTATTGAATTATTCAAATGTGTTTTGATTCTCAGCATTTTTGGGGGAGCAACTGGTGCCAAAGTTAAAACAAGATTCAAATTATGCAGATCTACTACGAAAAATTGTTATTCAATTTCGAATCTACTGATTATTGATGGCGCCATCTATGGGCATTTCAAATGTATGATTATAGCTCCATCTATGGGTTGCAACTAACACTGTATTCAACTTCGTACTAGCGCCATCTATCGCCCCAGTTGGTGTATGTCGATAGACATCCAACAACCCTGTTTCACACACATTCTTACCCACTGCCGCCGATAGGAGCTATCGGTATTCTGTCATCTTTAGAATTTCACGAAAATTTCATGCGCCAAAAACGTAAACTAAACGAGTATCTTTGGGAATAAACTAAGACCGAGGATGACCAGCTGCCCAAAAAACTGCGCTACCACAAACTGAAACCGTTGTCATCACATTTCGAGAACGGCTGCAGTGCATCCTTGGCGCAGGCGGCTGGGAAAACGAAATTTCCACCTTGTGGGTGGTACAGCAGCGCAGGAAGAAGAAGAGCGGCAACGCTGCGCTCCACTTGATAAACAAAAGGATCGAAAACCCGGAAAAAAAGGATTAAATCGGGCACCTGGACAAGATGCCAGGCGAAAGTTAGTGGAAGCGATCCCTAAACTTGGTCCAGCAACACAGAAATCCACAGATTACGATGCAGGTAAGTGGTCAGAGACCAAAACAAAACACCCAAAGTGCCAGCCAATTGATCTAATTACGCGTAGTCAGTGGGAAATATTTCATAATAACACTGCTCCATGTTCAACTACTCAATGGAGTCATGAAATCATGTGGAATCCTACAAGTAGTTGCAATGGGACCAGCACTTCTACATGTATGACACTGAACTTCATAACTTTAAGTTAGGATCCCTCGTCATTTGAACTTGGAAAGCAAATGGCTCCTGTCACTTTCTCACATTTGCCAGCATACGAAATCGTAAACATGTTTTCTTTGTGGCACACGATTCAGCACAGTAGTCCATTAAACTAAGTGTCAGCGAAAGCGTATTTAGAATATTGTTCCTTTAAACGACTAAGTTCAAACCATTCAAAATGTATCAAAGCAACTCGCGAATCGCTATGCTATCGTATAATCGAAGCCAGAAGGACAAGGAGCAGACGAAGAAGGTATAGGTGCTAGCCATTCTCATCAGCGTATATCCGTAGCCCAAGCTGGTCTGCCGCTACTTATCCAAGTGGACTTACATATCTGAATCCGGATTTATTTTGTCTTTCAGCAAATGGACGATCCACCATCGCTGCCCGTGGGCACGGAGGTGAGTGCCAAGTACAAGGGCGCCTTCTGCGAGGCAAAGGTCAGCAAGGTGGTGCGCAATATCAAGGTGAAGGTGGCCTATAAGCAGGGCCTAGGATCCGGCATTGTCTCCGATGATGCCATCAAAGCGCCAACGGGCCAACTGCGCGTCGGTGCGGTCGTGGAGGTGCGTCATCCGGATCGCAAGGAACTCGTGGAGGCTACCATCACGAAGATCCAGGATTGCTCACAGTACACGGTGGTCTTCGACGATGGTGACATCACCACTCTCAGGCGAACGGCTCTGTGCCTCAAGAGCGGCAGGCATTTTAACGAGAGCGAGACGCTGGATCAGCTGCCACTTACCCATCCGGAACACTTTGGCAATCCCGTGGTGGGTGGTCGAAGGGGCAGACGGCGCGGGCACCTGAACGAGGACAGTTCCGAGGACGACGACGAAAGCGATGCCAAGGAGGTGGTGAACGAGAAGGAGGAGAACATCGGCAAGGTGGTGTGCGTGGAGACGGAGTCCAAGAAGAAAGACAAGGAGAAGTGGTTCCCCGCTCTGGTGGTGGCGCCCACGGCGCAGGCCACCGTTCGCATCCGAGTGAAAGACGAATACCTGGTGCGCTCGTTCAAGGACGGCCGCTATTACACGGTGCCCAAGAAGGAGGCCACCGAGTTCACCCGCGAAGTGGCGGGCAAGCAGGATGTGCCTGCTGTGCAGGCGGCTCTCGAGTTTCTGGACAGCAGTGTTCTGCCTGCCCACTGGGACAGGGACTCGCTGTTCGGCCTCACGAACATCTCCAGCGATGACGAGGGCGAGATTGACTCGGACTCCTCCGACGATGAGCCGCACGAGGAGAAGGATCGCTTTGTGGCCCAGCTGTACAAGTATATGGATGACCGGGGCACACCGCTGAACAAGGTGCCCTCGATTCTAAGCCGGGATGTGGATCTGTACCGTCTGTTCCGTGCGGTGCAGAAGCGAGGTGGTTACAACCGCGTTACCTCGCAGAATCAGTGGAAACTCATTGCCATGCGCCTGGGCTTCACGCCCTGCACGGTGAGTGTGATGAATCTTGTGAAGCAGGCGTACAAGAAGTTCCTGCAACCATACGGCGATTTTCATCGAAAGCTGGGCTGCTCCATGCTGATGACTTCGCGCAACTCCAACCGCAGCAAGGGTAGAAGCCTGGTGCGAGCCAATTCAGTGGCGTCTCCCAAGCCCATGGAGACCACGAAAACGGAGACGATCAGCAAACTGGCCCAGCCCAATCAGACAAACGTGGTGGCTTCCACATCGAGCAGTGCAGCAGCAGCAGCAGCGGCAGCTTCTTCTACGCCAGCGAGAGCCGTCTCCACCGCCTCGCAGTCCGCCGCTGAGGAGTCGGGCAATACCAGCGAATCCAGCGTGGTGGTGGAGCCACCTAAGAAGCAAAGGAAGGGCTCAGCGGCCAGCAGTCAACAGGGCAAGGTCAAGAGTCTGGTGGAGAAGTACGAGGAAAAGTCAACCGTAGTTCAAGGCAGCGGAACATCGTCGGGATCAGTGGCCGGATCGGGAGCCAGCGGATCCTCTACAGCCGTGCCAATCACTTCGGCAGCTGCTTCCACCCCGACCAACTCGTCATCAGCCACGGCAAGTGTCTCAGCTGCCATTGCGACCACGGGAATGAACAAAGATGCCGAATCGGATCTGCCCTTGGCCAAGATTAAGGCAGCGGCTGTGGCGGCCGCTTCCACCAGGCACAGCATGGAAAAAGAGACCAACATCAGTTCGGGCAGTAGTGCCTCCGCCTCCAGCAAGGCCAATTCCGCGGAGATGCAGCGCAGTCGGGATGCTTCACCATCGGGTAAGTGAAAACGAAGTTTAACCAATGACTTCCAAAATCTTGTTTCTTATTTTTTGTTGTAGACAAGCTTTGTTCTTAGTTTCGCTCCCAAAGTCCTCTCCCATCTGAGTATTACAAGAAATCTCCCCTTCAGACAATCTTCACTTTGACTTTGTGATACGCGTTGGCCAACACGCCACGCAGATTCCAGATGTGCTCGAATTTCTCCGGCTGCACATTGTACGCTGAGTCAACGGCCTTGGCCCAGATTTCCACGTCACCGGCTTTCCTTTGGGCCTCGGAAACGGGCAGGCGAGCGGTCCACAGGGACCAGCCGTAGTGTCTGCCATCGGGCATCTCCTCCTGCTCCAGTTCGGCCACGTGCCAGCTTACTCCCTCATCGTTGGTCAGGTCCACCCTTACGATTTTCCTGCCGCCGCCGCTCCACGCGTATCCCCTCACCGTGATGTGACCCTCGTTGTCGTCCACTTTCACCCTGGCCCCTGGCTGTGGCGTACAGATGGCCGAGGTCACCGGCATGGCCTGGATGGCATCCGACTTGCTGAAGTCCACCGTGTCCCAGTCGGTGCTAGGGCTAAAGCCCTTGTAGTCGTTCTGCTGCCAGTGGGAGTCCGATTCCTTATCCGCCACCACGATTCGCGTTAGCCACTTCACGTTGCGGGCGCCCACTGTGCCGGGCACAATTACGCGAATGGGGAAGCCGTGATCTCTGCTCAGCGGCTCATCGTTCATCTCGTAGGCCAGGATGACATCTCCCCGGGGATCCAGTGCCTTGGCGAGTGGTATTGATGCTCCATACGGGTGGGAAGTGGGATCCAGGTCGGCACCCTCGAAGATCACGTGCTTGGTCTCATCCGGCTGCACGCCCTGTTCCCTCAGTACGTCGCACAGTCGAGCTCCTGACCACTTGGCATTGCCCACTGCGCCAGCTCCCCACGAAAGTCCTTGGAATAGAAACAAATGGAGTTAGGGGAATCAGAGAGATACCCAAACAGACGACTTACCCTTTACGGCCTTGATTTTCGTCATCTCGGAGCGTCGATTGCCACCGCACATAATGGCCGCTGTAACCGAGTGCTTGGGCAGGGCCTTGACCTCCTCCAGAGTGAGGGTCTTCTCTTTCACGCCACCCTCGATCTCCAGCTCGTAATCCGCCGGATTGATGACCGGCACTGGCAGGTGGTTGCGCACATAGAACAGATCGTTGGGTGTGTAAAACTGATCGGCCAGCAGGCCAATTGGTGGCTCAGCGTTGAAGGGTCTCTTGGAGGCTGGTTTCAGCAGGGCGTGGCGCTGCGGCTCCTGCGACCAGGGTGAGCCCAGCTCATCCTCCGCATTGGTCACCACCTGACCCTCCAGATTGCCAATGCGAAAGCCCTCTAGAAGCTCCAGCACCTCCAGCGTATTGTGCTGCTGGTAGATGGCCCAAAAGGGATCGATGGCACTGCCGGCAGCCATCAGGATCTTATCGCCACCGGGATGATTCTCGGCAAAGTCTGTCACATCGTAAACGCCCAGGCCGTAGGTGACCCAAACACGTTTCTCAGCGCAGTTGTGCTGCTCCACTTGGTCGGCCCTGTAGGTGGGCAGCTCTTTCCTGGTGGTCACGTGCCACAGTCGGGCCGTTGCCTCCAGTTCCTCCTCGCTTGGCACCTTTTGCCCCTCGAGCAGCACATGGTTGTTCTTGTCGGTCAGCCAGTGATAGCCCAGGGACAGGCCACCTGCCCAGATGGCAGCATAGAGCAGTTGCTCCGACCTGCTACCGGGGGTACTCCATTTGCTGTGCTGCTGCTGCTCCTCCCTTTCTCCATTGCTCCCGCGACTGGTGGTCAGCAGAAAACGCCGGTGGTGCTG